GTAAGGTCCAACTCAGGGTGAAAACAATGACAGATGAATTTGCTTATTCCTTCAGAAACCGACTGCAGAAGATTGTGGTACAGTTCCGCATGTGCTCCATTATTTGCTTTTTCTGTGTTTCAACAGGCCTTGAATAGGGGCATCGCTGCTGTCAAGGAAGATGCTGTGGAAATGCTGGCCAGCTATGGGCTGGCATACTCCCTGATGAAGTTCTTCACGGGTCCGATGAGTGACTTCAAAAATGTAGGTCTGGTGTTTGTGAACAGCAAGCGAGACAGGACCAAAGCAGTTTTGTGCATGGTTGTGGCTGGCGCAGTAGCTGCTATATTTCATACCTTAATAGGTAAGGTCACTTCATGTCTAATTAATACGTCTTTTAATTTGCTTCCCTTGCCTGTTCTTCAAACTGATTAATCTGTAGGCTTAAGATTTCATTTATAAGTGCAACAGGAGATGCAAAAGAGATTAAATCTCTTGGACTGGTATCATGCCCATCCACGTAATTTTTATTGCTTTTTAAACAGGTTGTTAAGTGACAAGTTCCAGTCCCAGGGCTGTTCTGCCTGGCAGCAAAACGTGCTGGTGACCTCTTTCAGTCAGGTGTGTGAGCAAAACTTTGGCAAGGTTGACAGGTTGCGTGAAGCTGATAGCTCAGTTTTACTCTTAGGTAGTGATGATCAACTAGCAGTATCTGCCCGAATGGGTTTAGCAGGACTTCAGGGTGTGCCTAGTGGGGCTGTTGGTCTGTACTTGGTGGCATAGTCGGTGTACTCCCTCTGTAGCTATCCCTTTGCTACTTATCTCACAGTACAAAAGTCTAAGCAGGTAGGTGCCAGCATCCTTATTAAAATATCCGGTATTACTCTCTACTAGTGCTAGTCGTCATCCACTTCTGTTGAATAAGTAATCTGTAAGAGAAGAAGTAGTTACTAAGAGGACTTTATGCTAAACTGAGACCAGCTCCCTGAGTGTAATATGAAACAAAGAAAATACACAAGCAGATATGAACTGAACTTAAAAAGTAAGGCAGCCACAGGATTTGCCAGTTTCTGAGAGCCTGGAGAAATGGGATATCAACCCAAGCATCAGCCACAGCAATAAAAAGCCATGTGACCTGGAAGGCGTTAACTTCATCCTCTCCAAGAACTGCACCAGATTCTCTGCGCTTTCTGGCTCGTTCTACAGAGCTGAAACCTCTGGACCTCAGCAACGAGGAACAGGAGATGCTGGAGGAAGAAGCAGAGAGTGCATTGCATTCAGCAGGTAAATCCTAAAAGCTGGGAGCTGTAAGGGATGGGAGGAGGGAGGTAATGCAACAGCCTATGGAGGCATGTGTTGGCATGTGACAGACAGTAGGGTTGAATTGCATGACCAGCAGTAGGGGTCATTCTGTCACAGAAAGATGGGAAATGTGAGTGTGATGTCAGTATCTAGATTTGCTTTGAAATTACAGAGTGGCCTGGAAGTGAGGCACTGTTCATTATCAGGCTGTTAGTATCTCAAGAGCAGCACATGCTGCTGGTCAGCATATAGAATAGACTATTTCAGTTCCTGCCCGAGGAGGTACAAAAGCCATCTGGTAAATACGAGCACGCTCTGCTCTTATCCTTTAGCAGGCTACCAGCTATATTCACCAGCTTTATGTGCTTCCCAAGCACTCCAGTTTCTTTGACCATCCTGTCTCTTACTCCACCACTGATACGGCAGCCTTGTGCTGTTTACCTTATTTTGTACCTTATTGTGTTATGGTCATAATAAATGCTTACAGTAACATCTCACTTACAGTAACATCTGCCACTCACTCAGTCTGTGCCAGAGATAAGCTACTGCTAATTTTATAAGCTGAATCCATGCATTCAAGTTAATTTAATTCACTGGTATCAATCAGTGACTTCCTCAATATGTTTACAGTTGAGGCTGCTTTACTGAGTCAGTATTATAAACTTTGGGCAATTTGTACGTTTGGCACTCATATTTCTTGCTTAGAATGTTTCTTCAGCCCCTGGAGCTGCTCTTCTAGTTGTTCACTTGTTTTCCTGCCAGTGCTAGTCAAAATTTTTGGCTTTGCCAGCTGGGTAAAAAAATACTTTCTAGTCATCTAACATTTTATTTTAAGCTATGATAGATTTTAAGAAAATTTAGAGCTTAACTATCGGATTTCCAGGTGAAGGACATAGCTGGAGGTGTTGAGGCAACACCTTATTGAAGGGAGGTGTTTGGGGCAATCGTTGGACGACATGCCAGACAGGTTTCTTGCCTTTGCCTGGAAGTAGAGCCCTGCTGATTTCAGAACCTCTGAAATGCCCTCTCTGCAGATATTGGGAAAGAAAAGAAAAAGAAGGCTGTACGTACCATGCTTTAAAGTCCTGAATTAAAGGGCTTCACATAATCTTTCAGCTGCTTATGGTGGCAGACTGCAAAATATTTTTTAGTATTTTAACTTGTCTGTGCCTGAAAATATGCAAAGACCACAGCAGAGACTGGCAGAGTGCCTGAGAGAATGGAGTTAGTCAGACTCTAGCACCAATTGCCTGGGTGTTGTTGCCAAGTTTTATGTTCCAAGTTTCCTCTGAACCTGTTTCAAATCCTGATTATTCTTCTCTGACCCACAGATGCACAACCTGCCTAGCAGGAGGAAGAGAAGGAGTCCAGTGACAGACACGCAGCCTCCTAGGACCTGCAACTACTCCTGAGCAGCTGCAAGCCTGTCACAGGCTATCTACAGGAGACACAAATACAGGTTCCTGGTGCTCGGCAGATGAAAAAGAGAAACAAACAGCACTCAGGGTACTGAATTTCTTCCACATGCCATGTGTATGGGGCTAAGGAAGACGACATGACTGTCTGCCATGGACTGTCGAAGCCCAGGAAGGAACAGAGAACAAAAAGTCCAATGAAATAAGGAGTACCGAAAGTCAGAAGGAGGAAAACAAGTGATGGTAGAAACACAGTGACCACAATGAATCACCACATTTCCAACTGTGATAGAGAATATTTGCAGTTTGCACAGACAGCTCTTCACAAACAGCAGCCTGGACTTATTTAAAATACCAAAACAGACTGTTTCACCTACCTGACTCATGCTTCATTGCTCCAGCACCAGCTCCCCACTACTGCTTCCCCACTGGGCCTAACACAGTCCTCTGTGGGAGGGACTGGCTGAGCCAAACCACTCGAACTCACAGTTGCAAGCTCTGGGTCCCTAAGTCATCACCCCACCACATTCCCATGAATGTCTGCAAAGTCTTCACCGGCAGTTTCTTTCACTCCCCTGCATATGTAGCAGTAAGAACCAAGAAACAAGTTGACCTTGACCAAAGGGATTTGAAACTGTATTCTTCTCCCACTTACAATGATGCTGCAAACCTTGGTCAGTACAGCATTCCTGGATTTGCTGTTTCAGTTGCAATCTGGAAATAGAAGATAGCGTACTGCCTTCCTTCCCTTGTGCTATTTTGGACGCAGCTACTGCCACCAGTTGGGGTTTCCTGGTGGGAAGTTCGCTATGTAGCAAGGGTCTAAAGTGTCTCATTATTTCAGAGACTGGCTTTTGGTGGGAATATTGGGCTGTAAGAGAAGGCATTCAAGACACTAAGCATATTTTTGACATCTTACTAAATTGCCAGCTTGACAGAGGAGAGAAATCATTTATATAACATTATGCTAACATAATGTGTTTCATGGTGTTGCTGGTAAGCCTTCCATGCTAAGTGGGGCCTTCTAACAGTAGTGTCATGAAAGACATGCACATTTTCTTTGGCAATAAAACAGCATTGTTCAGTCTTTCATTAGTTTTACTGAGAAATAGTGGACTGATAAAATTTATTTCCTTTTGCATATTAGTATTACTTTCCACAGTTCTCTGAGGTTCTGGAAATGACAAGACAGCAGTTAACTTTGGGAAAACATCCTCTTTGCTTAAGTAGACATCCTTAACTAGTGCCCACTACACCTGACTAAAAACTACATGATGGATCATTTGTCATCACCAGGAAAAAATGGTTGGAACTTTAGTAACCAGGCAAACCTACAGCAGACTGGGTGGTCAAGACATGCAAGTGATTTGTTTTGTGCCAGTTTATTACTGACAGGCAAGCAGGCGTGGGCCGCTCCCTGCACAGATTGCACAGGGGAAAACTTTAGCTGTTGCTAGCAATTCCACTGATTCTTTTGAACTTCCCACATGCATTGTCACTGCATGTACATGAAAGATCTGCATAAGAAGTGAGACATAGGAGTAATCCCACCACTTCCCGTGTAACAGTACTGGAATTTTCTAGAGAGAAGGAGTTAGAGGGTGGCTTATGACAACCTGAGATATTTTTTCCAGTCAGTCTTGTTCCCACGTGCCTACTGTACTGGCTCGTACTAAACATTTTGCCCTGGAAAAAGATGATAGCACAGGAATACAAATGAGAATATAATCCAGGCTTGCTTTTTTTTTCCTTTCTATAAGATGATAAAATGTTATTCATTAAAAATGTATCCTACTTCAGCATCTTCAGATGGCCATTGCTCAGGCAGTAACATGCTTCCCCAGCTGCCCCAACCCTTCTCCTACAGCAGGGGCAGTTTCTTATCAGCAAGGTATTCAGGGCAAAGGAAGAAGGAAGAAAGCCTATGACCAAAGCATTTGTGAATTTTAGGACAGCAATGATATTGGTTTTCAGTTAAAACAGGCTAGTTTTGAGACTTACAAGATGTTGGCCTACCTAAAGATAATTCAGAGACCAACGGTCATTGATAGATTTGGGAAAATCAACTAACGCAATTTTGAAACTAGAGCTGAGCACAGAAAAAGATGATTGTAGTCATCAGTCTGCATTGAGATGCTCCTAAGTGTTTTTTTTTTAAATTCATTTATTACTATAAGGAAAAAAATCGCAAAGCCTGAAACACTCTGATCATCTGGGCTTTCACAGGGGGGACAGAGGCTTTTGCTTCTGCTTTAAGTTAAGCTAACCAAAGACATAAAGAAATCTGTGTACCCTGTGCCATCTCGAAATGAAGATTTGCCCTTCAATATTTATTTTTTTTTTCCAAATTGTCATTTTCCTATCACATAGCTGAACAAACTTCTGACCAGCACCAGTTTTGGCCATGTGAGCCATCTTTCTGACAAGCAGCAGAATAGATTTTTACTTCTGAAGTCTCTAAGTTCATTTTTAAAACTGGCAGTGAAGTATGAAAATGGAATGCATCTAAAAAGAACATACTTTAACCCAAAAACATTTTTTGATCTTTTTTTCCTCCAGTAAAGCTAATATTGACATATGTACCTCTGTGTCTGGAAGTAAATGGTATCACTTCCTATGAGGGTTTCTTTTTGTTTTCTTTATGATGTCAGTATAATGTGCTGGGTAGTAGACAGCTCCAAAATGACTACAGTACAGCTATTTGTTTGAGACTGCTGGCATCATTAAGAGTTGTCATGGTTCAACCCCAGTCGGCAACTAAGTACCACGCAGCCACTCACTCAGTCCTTCTCTGCACCAGTGGGATGGGGAGGAGAATCAGAAAAAGGTAAAACCCATGGGTTGACATAAGAACAGTTTAATAAGTGAAATAAAATTGTTATTAATAATAATAATAGTAATGAAAAGGGACGTAACAAAAAGAGAGAGAGGAGTAAAACCCAAGAAAAGACAAGTGATGCACAGTACAATTGCTCACCACCCACTGACCGATGCCCAGTCTGTCCCACAGCAGCAATCGGCCCCTCCCAGTCAACTCCCCCAGTTTATATACTGAACATGATGCTCTATGATATGGAATATCCCTTTGGCCAGTTCAGGTCAGCTGTCCTGGCTATGGACCCTCCCAGCTTCTTGTGCACCTCCTCACTGGCAGAGCATGGGGAACTGAAAAGTCCTTGACTTAGTGTAAGCACTGCTTAGCAACAACTAAAACATCAGTGTGTTATCAACATTATTCTCCTACTAAATCCAAAACACAGCACTGTACCAGCTACTAGCAAGAAAATTAACTCTATCCCAGCCGAAAGCAGGACAAGAGTGGGCTCAATTGTTTTAAGAATGTCTGAAGTTTTTGTCATAGTAATTGGCTTGTTAGAAAAATCGGTGTAAGGAAGAAGAGATCCAATTAAGTATGTAGTTTCAGTGTCATTTCCTAAGCTTCTGGGTCTTAAAACTCAACTGGAAAAGACAAAAGCAAGAATTCCTGCTTAAATTCTGTAGCAAAACTAATCCATAGACATATTGAAATAAATGAGGTGTTAGAGGATAGCAAATGGGCAGCTTGTCTGTTTTGGTTGAAATGATGCAAGGAATGGGAAGAGCCATCTGCTTTAGATTCATGTAGTACTCTTCAGCTCTGTTATCTGTGTTATTAATTTTGTACCATGCTTCATAATAAGTTTGTAAGGTTGGCCAAGGTTAAGTTCTAATTGCATCAGCAATTGCTTTATTCACAGCTCAGAGACACATTCCTGTATATTTGTCAGTAAATCGCAGCTCACCGAGTCCCTTCTGAGCATGGAAACATTCATGGACATCAGCAAAAGTGATTGTGTGCTTTCACTGACACGTGGAATAGTTAACTATTTTAAAACTAGCTTTCAAGCTCAGCCATTACGATTTTAAAATCAAAATCACATTAAAAAGTGCAGTTAGACTCTTTTTGTGGATGAGGGAGAGAAAAAAGAATCTCAAAGCTTACAGAGCACAGTGTTGATATCCCTAGAAATCTTAAAAATGTGGTGCTGTGGGCTGTGGTGGTACAAGTCCCTTGAGAGTGCCCTGCCAATAAACTACAACACTGGGGTGAACTGTCTGTTCCTAGAAGTGAGAGTAGTTCAGCCTCTGACCCCTCTGATTCTGTGAATTTTTCTGTGATAGTAAACTTAAAAAAAAAAATTAAACATCTCAATGGCTTTTAGAGCCAAAAAAGTTACTTATTACTCACTTTCTAAACACTTTAAAAGTCTAATTAAAGTGGGCAAAGCCAGGCAGGTGAAGTGCATGGAGAGCACGGAGGGTGGATTCTGTGGCGTGCTGTCTTCCCAGCACTGCACTGCTGGTGGAGGCACCTTCACAGAAGCAGGTTCCTCAGCACCAGGACTCTGATTCTGTCAATCCCCATGTAGGGAATAAGGCTGGTGTGTTTCCTGCAGCAGGTTTTTTGAGTTTTTGTGCAAGAGAAGTGTAAAGCAACTTTAGCAGAACCTAAGAGAATCTGACCCTCACAGGCAGCTTGTCTGACGTGCCTTCGAAACTTCTCCTTCGTTCAAATAAGTCGATTCAGAAACATCCATGTACTGCCCTGCCGTAAAACCAACTTTCCACAAGGACTTAACCATGCAAAAATCCATGCATAACAGAGAGTTTTCAAAATACTGGGCAAAAATTGGTGTATGGGTATTCATGCAAAAATAAAGAGGCTGTACTTGATGTGTGACTGGAGTGCAATGAGCACATGAACACTTAAAGAAATAAACTGGCCTCCCTTGGCTGAGGAAAGGTTGGAGTCCTGGTTTAAAGTTCTTCTCCGACCCCCTTCAAAAGGAAATGGCTGGGAGTGCCTCAGGAGGATGGCTAAGCGACTTGGGGATTACTGGGAGACTGTGAGTCTAGCAGTCATAGCTCAGATGAAGGAGCTGTAGATAGGGACCAGCATAGGGAAAGGGTGAGTTTTGAACATTTTAACACCTTTTGAGGAGTCCTGGTTATCTGGAATGAGGCTCATGCCTGTTGCAGGTGCTGTCATACCACTGCCTTCTATTTTACTACCTTGTTTACACTGTCTTGTTTGGACTGAAAAAGTCTTTTCAGTCCTGTTAACCATTTAACTGCTGTATTCCTAAGCCATTGCGAAAAAATGATGACTTAAACTCCTCTTTAATTGCTTCCAAACACTGGTTATGAGTTATGAGAGATAGTTTTAGCTAAACAGATTGAATTGGATGACTAATGTTAGCATTTGTCAATTCAATTATGTGACTTGGATGCATGAAAAGGATAAATTTTCTGAAATACCCTATATGAAAATCTGTATAATGATAATAGAGTTGTTATACATGGAAAATCAGATAGATGTTCACATTTGAAATAATTATCTTAGGAAAGACACAAGTGGAAGAGAACTGAGGTAAGGTTCCCCAGGCACAAATAATTCTGCCATTACTTGTGTTAGGAGGTTGACTTCGCAACCTAATGATCCTTTTAACAGCTATTAAAAGTGTATAGATAAAACTAAGTAATAATATGCAGGTCTAGAACATAGTTTATAAAAGTTTTAAAACTATTTGGATTATTTAACTGTGCATATTATGTTAAGTCCCCGTAGTTCAGAGACTCCAGTCATAGCTAGCTCTTTGTTATTCCTGGTCATGAGGAGGACTCTGAGGTTACTAAAACAGCTGGATAACACAGGTACTAACAGAGACATAAGCAGTTCTTTAGAGAGCTGTGTGGTGAGTCCCTGCGTCTCTGCTGTCTTCAATCCAATGCCTTGGGAAGAGAGAGCTGGCAAGAGCCGTGTTGCCCAACACTAAAAATTCTCATCTCGGGTTGAAACAGGATGGCAAAATAACATACTGGCGACCCCCAGATTTCCAGCGGTGCCCTTTTCTGACTTGTGGCTTCTGAGATGCTGGCTCTAGGTAAGGAAGGAAAACTAAGGCTGGTCGAGGCTGCCCAGGGAAGGGCGCAGTGCCCTAGCAGGTCCCAGCAGAGGTCATCATTAGGCAGAGTAAGGGAGAGGCATAACGAGTGTGATTGGTTGCATGCCTTCACAATTCATAGTATCCTTTCACAGCTTTGGGCAGGTTTACAGATGAATACAGGTTTACAGAGAATGCAGTGACAATAGATGGTTTCAGCATCTAGAAGATACTACAACCCCATGAAATACACAATGCCTGGTGAAAACAGCTTTTCTAACAAAGAGCCTTGAGTTAATGAAAGAGCAGTAGATGTTCTGGAGTACCGGTGTGTTCATTTAGCAAACAGATGTGGCACTTACTGTACCCATCTCCCAACCCAGCCGTTTGTTATCACTCCTCTGCCAAAGGTTGCTTGAAAAAGAACCATGAGAGTGCTCCTTAGTCATAAACATCAGCTGTGAGGCTGTAATATCCTGAAGCCCCTGCAGCTGTTTGCTAAGTGGATGCATGTCTGAGCTCCTAGGTGTCACAGTCTTTCAGGTGCTTCTGAGTATCTCACCCAGAGTCCATACATAACCTTTATTACTCATTCCTATTCTTATGTCTCTACAGCATATAGCGATTTGGGGTATTACATTATTAATAAGCTGCACCATGTGGATGAATCAGTGGGAAGTAAAACTCGGAGGGCCTTCCTTTATCTTGCTGCCTTCCCTTTTATGGATGCCATGGTGAGTGCCTGATTCAGAACTGAATTATAGTATTAATGTTACTGTTTTTCTTTGGTGACCTTAGTTCACAAAGTCTGTTACTTGATGGGAAGCTGGAGGTGTGCAGAAGGAAGGTGTGTCCTTTGCAAGCAGTAGCTCTGGATATACCTGGACACATCATCTCCTGCTACCAGGAAAAAGCATCTGGGTGGACTTTGAACATCCAGAGATCATGACAAATGTAAAAAACCTCAGCTGCCTTGCTAGAGTTACTGTATGTGCATGCTGGAGAGCACTGGTCATCTTGTGATGAGCTGCACCGGTTGTCTGTATGTGTCCTCTCATTCCAATTTGTAGTGAAAGAGTTGGATGTGCCATGCATTCCCAGATCATTTGCAGAGCTCACAAGGAATAAGCTCAATATTTTCTCAAAGCAAATTTGTTGAAAGGATATTTCTTACCATCAATTTTTGCAAGCACAGCTAAGACCAGTGTATCTCAAATGCTTGGGCAAGAGAGCCACGTATGTGGTGGGCTTCTGCTTCCCAGATCACCAGGCTTACTGCTTGTGGCCTGCGCAACATAAAAATATGGCAGCTCTCTTTAATGCCTCTACTTCTGTGTAAAACTGGTAAAGGATAACCTTCTCATGGCATGCCTCCACCACTTTCTCTACCACTTTGTCTGCTTGAAGCAGTAGCTGACAATAAAAAGAAGTTGGATCATCAAGTTTTCTTTCCCAGACAGGGCTCAGTATAACTCAGTGGGCCAATGAATATTACACTTCAGAGGTGCATCCAGCTGGTAAATGAGAATAAACACTTTTTCCCTCAGATTATTTAGTATGATAATCAATCATGTGCAGCATCTGGTTTGTGAAGAAGGGGCAATTTCTTATTAGATCTGCTCAGAAGTTTCTGTACAGTCTATAAAGTTATTCCCATTCTCCCTGTCATCCCTGGCAGTGAGGAACTGAATGCAGCAGTGCTTTCTCTGCATTACTGGCTTAACTTTTGCCTAGGTTCACAACAGGTACTGCTGGTGGGAAGGAGCTTTATCAGATGTTTGTAAGTACAATGTAACAACCAGAAAACAGCATTCTGGGACCTGAAATCATTCACGAATATCGTAATCACTTCCCAAACTCTTTGCCTTTTTTCAGGCATGGACCCATGCTGGGATTCTGCTGAAACACAAGTACAGTTTCCTAGTGGGATGTGCCTCCATCTCAGATGTCATAGCTCAGGTAATGACTCTTTTAGCAGTCACTGTTTCCATTGTGTTACGGACTAGAAGCTTTTCTAAGCAGTAACTGTCTTGCACAGAGACTGCCTTCTCTCTCTGCCATGAACAACACACCGGAGGAAGTAATCTTGTCTGCTATTCTCTGGCTGTTTCCCTTTTGTGTGGAGGCTGTTTGCTGACAGTTGTGGTTTAGGCTGGTCTCACTTCACTATGTCAAGTCAGTCTCAAACCAATGTCAGGAGAAGGGAATCAGGATTGTTTGGGCTAGGGCCATGTCTTCCAGCACCTCCACAGCCCTCTTTCAGAATAGCTGAGAAACAAGTTACATATACATGTATATATCTGGGAAAAAGAAAGGTCAGGCAAAGAGACTGATGGCTGCCACCAATCGTGCGGCTGCTGGAGTGCTTTGAAAAAGACCTTTCTACACCCTGCGCATTCTCCACCACACTTTGCATGGTTGCACTGAAATCCTGAGGTGGGGAAGTGAAGGCTTGATTCTCCAGTTCACCTGTCAGTTTTGCACATGCTGTCTAATCCAGTGAAATGCAGTAGTGTAAGCCATCTTCTGAGTGCCAGTATGGCACTTTTCTTGTTACTGGTCCAAAAGGTGCAGGCTCAGAACTGCAGCAGAAGGGATCTGTGGTGGTAGCCCCTGGGTGATGCAGGAAAGACCAAATGTTGTTTGAACTTTCGTTTGTGAGGGAAGTGTTAACTATCCTGTTGCTTTGTACTGGACACACTTAAAAACCAACATTCATACACATTGCTGATGGCCAGTGTTGTAGCATTTGAGAACCAATATATAGCCCTCTTTTTGAAGCATACATAAAAATATTAAGAAATGGAGAGTCCCAGCACCTGTAAAACAGTTGCTGTACTGCCCCATTACCAGCTGAATGGTGTATTGACTGGATAAGAAAGAGGATAATAACAGTACAACACCAAAGGAAATACGAAGTCAACAGCATTTACTTCAATTTTCCATAGCATTTTCCTCCCACTAAATATAAGCACACCATAAACCACACTGAACCATTCAGTTATCTGCTATTCAGTGTTTGGCAGGTCTGCCACTCTACAGTACCGCACTAAATCCCTGACAATAATACCGATTACTGTAAATGACCTTAACCCTCAGGATCTACTCTTGTTCTGATGTGACCTACAAAGCTTGTTGTGTCATATACAGCTAAATACAGAAACAAATTCTTATTTTGGCCAGGGTGCACATGCCCTTTCCGCTATGGTTGGTGAGTGGCGTGCCAGGGTTGTGAAGAGTAAGACACCTGTCATCTTCTCTCAACAAAATATTGCACAGAGCAAGAGCAAATCTGGAAGACAAAAAGTTGTGACTCTCAGTACCCCAGAGCTCTCTGCACCTACATCTCCTCCCTACATAAGCAATAGGTGCGCAGGCAGTAGCTATTTCTCCTTGGGTAGCTTAATATACACAGTTTTTGTGACTGACATTTGTTTACTGAAAAATAATTCTTTTGTAGGGTTCAAAAGAGCAGTTTTGCAAACCTTCATAAACAGTGTGGCCTACCTAACAAACATTTGCACAGTGTGATTTTTCTTAAGTATTTCTTGAGCTCTAGCAATGAAGGAAAGAACCTGCCCCTGGACAATGTGTTTTGTATTTCTTATAACTCACTTGAATGCCAGCATGTCCCAGCAGGGTTGTCCTTGATTCTGCTGTTCACACCACCAAACATAGCTGGCTTTCCGGTTGTTTCCCCCATCCAAAGACTTTTGGAATTTAACAGGCACGCCGTCAGCTCTGTACTTAACAAAGAGAATAATATCATATTAATCAATTCCTTTGCATTTTCTGGATTGAACATTTAATCTTACGAGAGTGAATTATGAGCTGTTCATTAGCCCAAAAGTTTCTATTTCATCTGCATCAAAGTGGCACTCAGATGGTTGAAGAGAGAATAATGAAATACTGAAATTTCACTCAAAAAAGTAGAAAATTAGGATGACGTAAGACTTCCTGCTTCTAAATGCTGAAGTGAATGTTTTAAAACATCTGGCTTTTTAATTGCCACTGCCCCCACCCCCCAAAAAAAAAAAAAAGCAGGGCTTAGAAGCTGACGCTAGAAGCATGTCTCCAGCCTCAGTGTATATCAGAATAGCACATTCTCCTGGGAAGGGTAACACTCAGCCACATGCTTGCTGCCAGACCTCGCCAGACTTTCATGCTAACCTTCTCCTGTTTATGGCTCCTAGTCTGACACCTGCCCATACCTTCAAGTACTGTTTAATAGAGCTTCTATATGATGTTAACTCTTGTTCTTCTCATTTGTATGACTGAATGCAGGGGAGGTCCTGGCTGAAGTTTCAAATGCCACAAGCTCAAAGTCAGATAGATATTGTACTCACACATAGTTGTTGGTTCAGATGGACTTGCTTGGAGTCAGATAGGAGATACGTTGGCCCTAAAGAAACACACAGACAAATTACTAATAATTTATTCGTTTGCCCTGCAGGTTGTTTTTGTAGCCATTTTGCTTCACAGTCACTTGGAGTGCAGGGAGCCCCTCTTGATCCCAATCTTGTCCTTATACATGGGAGCACTTGTCCGATGTACCACGTTATGCCTCGGATACTACAGGAACATACACGATGTCATTCCTGACAGAAGTGGGCCTGAAATGGGGGTATGTCTTAATACCTTGCACTTTTTTGAATTCAATGACTTTAAACTTGCTTTTGTGTTACAATACTGCATTAAACCACCGTGCATGAAGGACCTCCTCTCTCTATCCTGCAGGAAAAAACATTTTCACTTAAAGAGGCGTGGTAAAACTATTTCAGCAACAGTGCATAGGAGGCAATGCTTCCCGTGGTATGGATGTGCTGTCTACTGAGCACCTCTGTACTGAGCTGTAAGACAGCACAGCATGAACTAAGTGGACACCTTATTTCACAGGGAAGAAGGTCTCAAAATTCCCCTTCTTCCTCAAATGTCATATTGGTTTTCGCGTATCTTTGTCTAGTAGGCAGAACAAATTATGCAGATAGATACCTTATGCGTTATTTATTGAGATCCATGACACAGCTTCTTTTGAATCATTATTATTAACATGGGTGAAAATATTTAAGGTTCCTCATATTGAAAACTATTGAAATGAATGTACCAAACTGACAATGGGTGGGAAAAGCAAAAATCCTTTCTGTCAGTTCTGCATGTTTTTTTTGAAACCCACTTCCGTTGTTTTTTTTTTTTTCCTATGTGTTGCAGGGAGAGGCTACAATAAGGAAGATGCTGAGTTTCTGGTGGCCTTTGGCGTTAATTTTGGCAACTCAGCGAATAAGTAGGCCCATTGTCAACCTTTTTGTCTCCCGGGACCTAGGTGGCAGTTCTTCAGCTACAGAGGTAAGAAAGTCAGTGCTCTCCATTACTGCAAATGATCATTTACATGGAGTTACCTCTGTGATTCTCTTCTCAGCCCTATTGACAAGAAAAAATTGTCTTAAGTACATTTCTGTTTAGTGCTGTCTTTATCCTTGAAAAGAAGAATGCTTGGACTCTTACTATGAGCGTTTCTGCAAGACCGAGTGGGACCTCACCCTCAACACCACCAGTAGAATTTTTTTGCTGAGCAGTTCCTGTACCCCAGGTTTTCATGCTCTACATAATAGGTACATATGCTTTGGAGCATTCAGATCCCAGAGATTTTAGGACAGTCATCAGTAGTCCCATGTTCCGCTCTTTCCTGTCATGTATATTTACGGCTGTGCAAACTGATGTGAAACTACTGCTAGCAGTCAGTGCAACACACCAAATAGGGTAGAGACATAAGGAAGCACATTAAAAAACCTGTCTCCTGGTTGGGATATGAAATGCACCCTGTTTCTCTTGAGGAATTTCAAATTACTCCCATAGTCTCCTATAGCTGATGGGAGCTGGACTTCTGATTGTAATGCAGAGCCTTCACCAACGCTCACCATGAGCTGACTTACTCTCTTAAGAAGTCTGGGGAACCTTTGGTGCCAGTTTTGGTGGGAGGATGTCTAGATCCACATAGTCATTAGTGAATCTCTCATGTTTTTTCTATAGGAAAAACAAAGCTGTAAGATACTAAATGGAAAGGAAAATTTAAACAGCCGATGCCTAACAAACAGTCTCTCAGTGCTGCTAATTTGTCATACGTAATACTCTCTATTTCACTCACTCAGGAGTTGCCAGTGACTGCAAATGAACAGCTGTGGAGAGAGAATTTATGAAATGTAACACTTTTACATGTGTAAATCAGGGATCAGTCTCAGTACAAGGGGAGCCAGAGATCAGTTTTGCGTTTCGTGGTGACTTTTGATTTTAGATGCATCACATTTCACGGCTAGCCAATTGCATTTTGTTGCTATTAGGATGACTGCAAATACCTGTCATAGCTGGTAGTTTGCTGGCCTTTTTACACTAACAGTAATGGTCACATTTCCACTGTCTCTGGTTTCTGAAATAGTTGCCTCTGGAAAGGGAGGTGGTGGCAACACAGATAACATCAGTATCTGGAGCATCAGTATACACAGGAGTTTTATAGGTCCCCTGTTCAATATCAGCAGCTTTCAGTGTGGGCAGGGTGTCCCTGTGAAGGGCTAGGCTATGGCACATTCATGAGGACGGCAAGTCCACTTGCGTTGGCCAGGTCCCACTGCTTCTGTTTGGAGTGCCAGCACAGTTATGGTGATTGGGGTTCCTTTTTTGGTGTTGGCTTTGATGGGGGACTTTTTCACCTGTCAAATACAAGTTCTAGACATTTAGGAAGGCTTTCATGCACATATTTTGGGATCCCACCAATTGAGGAAATATACTGGAAGAAAAATCACTGCTAAAAACTTCAATGATTTAATTCAAGTGGCATCTAGCATCCAGAAAGTGGTAGTGAAATATTGTTTTCTTTAACAGTTACTATGTCTTTGCAGTCTTTTTGGACTTCATCATGAAAATAAGCAAAATATCTTGTATATTCCTTATTTGATTTAACCTAGTTAGGTTTCATACAGATGGAAATTCTGCTGAAAATACAATAAAGGGGGGGATTGCAATTAAAAAGGACACTGTATTAAAATTCCAATTTGTTTTCATTGAGCCAGTTACTTTTTCAGAGTAGATTAGACTTTATCCAAGCTATTATTAACAGGGAAGAATCTATCCCACTCTTTTCTTCTCTGTGGATATAACTATTTTCCAACCTCTTTTTAAACAGCACAGGGAATAAATTAGCTTGCTACAAGGTCCTGTGTTCATATAGATCTTTTAACCAAGCAAGGACAGCGGTTACATTTATAATGGGAAAATGGGCTCAGGTAACCAAGAAAGTGTACGTCAAAAATTTAGGAGTGAAACAGAGACAGCAGTAGTTAAGAAAGATCTTTCTTAACGCTACCATTGCCAGATGTAAAATGAATCTGAATTTAGGCGAATTGTAACAGATCTGAACCTGCAGACAAAAGACAGTCAAACACTTTGACTTCTGGAATTAAGAGAGGCAGGCAGTTCTCAGTACTGACGCACACTTCCATCTGAGGACTAGAAAACTTGGGGTGACAGTAGATTTCCAAGCAGCTGCAGGAGGAACTCGCTAAACACCATTCCTACATGAAAGACATGAAGTACATGTATTTGGACTTTTTCTTCAGAAGTTGGAAACATCAGCAAAATCTTTCACACATTAATGTGTAGGGTGGTTTTATGTCTTTGATGTACCTCTTGGAATGTACTTGTGAAAGTGCAAAAGGGCATAGTTTTAAATTGCAGGCAGTGAGTTGTTTCTCATAGCAAAAATGATCAGCTGGAATTATTTTTGTCTGGTTTTCATTGATGAGCACCAAAGTGGGGAGAGGATGGGTTTTTTTTGTCTTATAAGTGCCTCCTGCCCCAGAGCAGTCAGTTTGATGTCCACAGTCGGTCAGTCACTGAGGCCTACTGTTTTGTAGTCTGTCTGTCTGTCTGAAAACTGTTTTACTTATGAATAACCAAGTAAATTGTATATAAATTAAAATTATGAAATATGATCCAAAGCTACCGTGAGCTGTAAGGCATTCTGCTACTCAGGTATCTGTAGTTAAAATTACTTGGGAGCAATGTGGGAGAGAGGTATTCGGCTCTCTGAGGGGCACACACCTGCTCAAGCTAACTATTATCCCCAAGTATCAGAGTGATGGTGAAACAACAAAGCTGAGTAGTGTAGCTTCATGGCACAAAAGATTTCGTAAGCTTAAAACACCGGGCCAAATGATGGCTACTCTGATGGTCTTCCTGAAACAAAGAACTTCCAGTCTCCTGCTTGGTTTCTCACTCTGTCAAACTCAATGTGGTGATACTGGTGGGAAATGGCATCCTATGTCAGTATAAATGTTCTGTTCAAAAATTTGAAGTTCATGTTTCCCTGTCTCTTTTCATAGGCAGTAGCAATTCTGACAGCTACGTATCCTGTGGGACACATGCCGTATGGCTGGCTGACAGAGATCAGAGCAGTATACCCTGCTTTTGACAAGGTGAGTACCCATGTGAGGGGTGTAATAAATACCTTTCCTGTGATTTCACATGAGTGGTCCTCCTCTTTCTCTCTGTTACAACATTTTGATTTAGGAGTGGCTTCAGTGATGTCAGAGGAATTTCTGCCAAGCAAATAGAAAGAAAGGTAGTTCATGGCTCCATAATAAGTGTAACAGATTCTTTAAACCAACCAAAGATTAAATAGGGCTGTATTAATGGCCATCTATTGTCTTGCTTCTCTTTTGCTTTTGATGCCTATTGTTCCTTGTCCCACTGATAAGGTTTTCTTAAAATCCTAGTTACAATGAATTGGGTTTGGGTGGCTTCAAGCTGTTGTCTGTTCTGTGATTTTAACCTTAGCTCTGTGTTACAAGGTATTAAACTACCTTTTGAACAGATACGTGCTGTATTTTTAAGGATTTAAAAAAAGTCCTCACTTACTCACTATGAGGTAGCTACTAAGCTAATGAAGTGATTTCTCACAAAGTGTCCATCAGTGAGTGAGCAAGCTCACATCTCTGCTCCAGATTCTGCGGCATCTCTAAAATGGGTTTGGATTCATTTGCTTATGTTAATATTTAGCAAAGGTTGTTTCATAGACTGACAGTAAAACAGATAACATACATACATTATTTTAGCAGTACTGACTTAGCTGACCAAGGCTATGAGGATTTTTGTTGGCAAATCATGTAATTGCATAAGAATGCAAGGACTGTTCCTGAAACTGAGTACAGAGTAAATATGTAACCAAAATTAATTTTGTTTAGACTCTTTTTTTACTCTGTTTTAGAACTGGTACTCACTAGCCCCTATGTTGTGTGAAGAAAAGTCATGTCTTGTGACACTCTAATTCAAATGCCAGATCCCTCCTTCCTTTTATTTACCAATTAGTAACTGAAATTTTGGGTTCCAAATATTGATGAAAAAAATATTTGCTTGTTCCGGGATGTGTTTAGCTGAAGCAAGCCCTCTTTGATATGATCCACCATATTTCCAAGGAGAATTTAAAAACAAAACAAAGGAAAGTCATATCAGTCATAACTTCCTAACCTGCCTGTGTACAGCTAAATTGACCTGTCAGATAAAATACAGCATGCAGGCTTTCTCAGAAGTCATGCTGCTAAAAAGGAACTGCATATGCAAACCCAATAAACTGCAAGATAAGGCTGGTTTGGAACAGGAAACAGGGCTGCTAACCTCGTCTGTTATGAGCCACAATCAGATGCACTATTGCCAAACGCAATTAACAGCAATTAAGACTGCTAAATTCAGGTCTTATTTAGCTGGTGGAAGATGTGCCGAGGACTTTAGTGGTGACGGGATTAGACCATGAATTGTGTTTGTTTACTTCAGTTAAAAGGCTTCTCATAGAGCTCTTGTGGAACAGATGAGAGGAAGAAAAAGCTAGGGTCGGGTACAGATAGGTACAGTGTATCTAATTGCTGGAAAAGTATATAATGGGGATTTTAGCTGCATGTTTGAAGAGCAATTTGGCTTAAAATGTGCTAAGTGAGGTAGCAGCAGTATAAAGCGTATCTCATCCTTGCGACCATGTGTGCAAATGCCTCCACCCTACCTTTCAGACAATAAATACCAAACCAGAAACCCACAGTGGTTTTTATTATATTGCTGTGAGAATTGCTTTACCCTCAGTCACACGTCATCTGCATGTAACCATGCCTTTCGAAAGATTTCCTTCCTTAAGCTAAGGCTTACTCAGAAGAGTACGGATAGAAGCACTTTTTATTTCTGGACTCTGTAAAGCCTCCATTGTGATTTTCAGATGCTGAAATAGTTTGCATGCATGCAAACTCCCATTTTCTTTTGTCAGTTATTCAGAAAGCTGGCAATGCTGATGGCCAACAGAAGCACACTGGATTGCCTTAACTGACTGATGGGATTTGGAATCCAGATAATATGCCCCTCTTCTGTGTCTCTACTGGAGAAGTTAGATTGTTTTCACAGGGAAATTGTTACCTCTGTTCACGTGAGAGATGCATGGTCCTGCTTCAGTCTTTTAAGAGACTGTGTCCAGAGCAACCTTGTGGCCTAGCAGTTACACTCAGGTTAAGGGTTACTACTGATTTTCTGAAGGAAAACAGGCATATCCTAGTTCTGTCCTCTGTTTGCTGTTTTATATGGTGATAATGCCATTACTCTTAAAGGACTCTGCCCTCTAATTCAAAGCAACACCACCAACTGTGAGAGGACTTGCGAATGCTATTTATCTGATTAATAGATGGGAATGGATACTCTTTTTGCTCCGTAATCTGCATAGTGTTTTGATCCAAGAACTAAATAGTGTGCAAGAGAGAGGAATAAAGAGTGTGTGGTCAAGAGGTAGAGCAAAGGGCAGAGTAGAGCAAGGGCAGAGTTAGCAGCAGCAAGGTAGGAACAAGTCAGAGCCCTTTTTCTTTGCAACCCTTTAGATGGCTGGATTTGCATGTACTTTACTTCCTCTCTGTTATTTTAGCCTTGTTAGAAAGTTGAGCCATGCAGCAGAGTTCATTTAATCACTGGTGAGTGATGTAAGCAAGGCCTATCCTCATATACATAAAAACTAACAGTAACAAAGTATTTCTTCAGAAAGACAAGAATTAAGAATAGCTACGTGAAAAAAATGTTTACAGAGAGTTTTCATAACCAGTTCCCCAAAAGGGCAGACGTGGGAGTAGCTTCCTGCTTTAGGGTCTGGGTTGCCCACATGCATCTTCGTGCTCCCAAACTTCCAAGCAGATATAGAGGCAGGAGCATGGGGCTATCCAGGTGCCGTTGCTGCACTGATCACCACAAAAGCTTTAAATTGCAGAATTCCATCAACTACTTGAATATGTGTGAAATGGTGTACCTTTCACAGAGCTCACGTTCAGTTTGCCCAGTCCCAGATACATTTGCGTAAGTTCCCATTTCTCTTACGAGTAACTTCAGTAAAGGAGGCTGTCAGTGTGACAGATACTGCTGTTCTACCTGAGTTAAGTCAACGATGAATAAATGTTGTTCTACATCTCATGATACAGGTTTTATCAGTGTGGGCACATACTTGCGTATCTCAAACAGCCCCAGGGTAAATGCAATGGATGACCCAACAGCCTATTGCTACAGGGCTCCTGATGGTGCCCTGCTTTTGATATCCTATCCTCTCCTTTCACAGACCATTTATTTTGTTTTTATGTGTTCCCTGAGGGCGATTTTAAATCTTCAGCTTCATTTGCTATATTAGACATTTGGAAGAGGGCTTTAGTTGTTGTTTTAAATAAAACTTTGCTGCCATGTGAGTACAGAGCCCATGTTCAAGGTGGAACATCTAATAGGCCTAATTATGTTCTGTTCATTAAACTGCATTAACAGAGCCAGCTGTTCCAGGAGCTTTGTTTGTATTACCTAGTTGTCTAATTGGATCGGTAAGGGTGCTTGCATTGGTGTATGGATTTGGTACCACTCTGTGGTAAAAGAGAATTAAATCCTATTTTTCCTGTGAAGACATGCTACAAACTTTCAACTAAGGTAAAAAAAATCATGTGGAGTTTCCTTAGAAAGACCTACCAACCTTTTTCAAAGCTGCGTTTGTTAAATAGGACTCATTCCTTAGAAAATAGGAGATTGCTCAGCCCTCAGTGACCATAGGAGCAGTTGCTGTCGGTTGAAGTGGAAAATATTCTGTGGTGGTACAAAGTACTCAGAAAGCTCTAGGTTAAAAAGCAAACAAGCAAAGGCAGACATGCATGGGTACAGACAGTCAGGTCCAACACATGACCCTGGTGCCGTCAGCCTCCCAGTAGTCTGGAGCCAAGCTAATGCTCATTATCTCTTTCTCTTACCCTAGAATAACCCCAGCAATAAATTGGTGAACACCAACAGCACCGTCACAGCAACACATATCAAGAAGTTCACTTTTGTTTGCATGGCACTGTCCTTAACGGTAAGAAACCTTTGTTCAACTCTCTGGCTTTCATCTCAACCAGAAAATTATCTCCTCTACCTAACGCTAAAAGCACTAGCAGTTCAAGAAAGGTGAGTTGTCTTTTCTTATGAAGCTCTGTTGCTTTTATCAGGAGGAGGGAATGTGATCATAGTACTGGAGTACTAAGAAAATCAGCTATCATTAACTCAGACTAGATGTCTTAAGGGCTAGAGTTATTTTATTTAATTCTCACTACGTTTCATTCCAAGTCAGCCTCCACATGCAAGGAGATATCAGAGATCTGCTTTTCTTTTTTCCTGTTTTTTTTAATAAACAAAACTTCTGGTAACCAGCACGTCAGGAAAATGAAAAACCGCATTTGTCTCACGTGCAGTGGGATGGCAGCGTGTCCCCCCACGTCCTTCATCTACTGTGAACTGTGGGAAAGGCCGCGCGTGTCGCGACTGCAGTCACTGTTCCCTGCCGCCTTGCATGGCACCGGTCTTCCATGTTGGGGGTACTTTCATGCATGTTGGTTTTGTTTACTCTCAAAATGAAATGAAAAGGGCAATCTCAGAGGCGGTGCTGACACTGACAAACGAATCTAAAGCCTTGTCTGTGCTGGGAAGCAGTGCAAAGGGCTGACATTCAGGGAGAAATTCTGCTGAGCCTGCAGCGTTTCAAAACAACCAGCCTGCACACATACGTACAGTGCATCTTCCCCAAGAAAACTGTTTCTGCACAAGTCTTCTTAGCAACAAACAGGCAGTTGTGGAAGAAAACTCATGCAGATGATGGATATGACAGAAAATAATGGAGTAGATGACCAGGGTAAATCCAACTTCTGTTTCTACATAGGATGGATTTACATTAGTGCTTGGAGCTGGTCAAGCCACCCTCTTCCCACTTGGGGTGGACTTGCATTAGCAACTATACCTCTGTCTTTGACAGTCATTAGCAGATTTGTGATCCATGCATGGTGTCCTAAGGAGTCCTGGGCTGGCTCGTGTGAGGGGACTGCCAGGTGCCAGGACCACTAGGGTCAGTCATGGCAGGACCTGGCAGCCAGGGCCCATCCCACCCCCAGCCAGGA